TGATAAATTTTGAGAAATCTTGAGAAATCCTGAGAATTGTTGAGAAATGATGAGAAATCATGATGAATCTTGAAAAATCTTGAGAGGGCTCGAAAAACGTGGAGAAATTTCGGGGAAATCTTAAGAAACCTTGAGTGATCTTGAAGTCTTAATAAATCTTCAGAAATTTTGAGACATATTGAAAAATCTAGAAAAATTTTGAGAAATCTCGAACTCTAGAATCATCGAAATCCTGAAAAATCTTGAGAAACCCTGTGAAACTTTAATAAATCTTGATAAATTTTGGGACATCTTGAGAAATCCTGTGAATTGTTGAGAAATGATGAGAAATCATGATGAATCTTGAAAAATCTTGAGAAGGCTCCAAAACCGTCGAGAAATTTCGGGGAAATCTTAAGAAACCTTGAGTAATCTTGAAGTCTTGATAATTCTTGAGAAATTTTGAGACATATTGAAAAATCTAGAAAAATTTTGAGAAATCTCGGACTCTAGAAACTTCGAAAACTTGAAAAATCTTGAGAAACCCTGTGAAACTTTAATAAATCTTGATCAATTTTGGGAAATCTTGAGAAATCCTGAGAATTGTTGAGAAATGATGACAAATCATGATAAATCTTGAAAAATCTTGAGAAGGGTCGAAAAACGTCGAGAAATTTCGGGGAAATCTTAAGAAACCTTGAGTAATGTTGAAGTCTTGATAAATCTTGAGAAATTTTGAGACATATTGAAAAACCTAGAAAAATTTTGGGAAACCTCGAACTCTAGAAACTTCGAAACCTTGAAAAATCTTGTGAAACCCTGTGAAACTTTAATAAACCATGATAAATTGTGAGAAATCTTGAGAAATTCTGAGAATTTTTGAGAAATGATGAGAAATCATGATGAATCTTGAAAAATCTTCAGAAGGCTTGAAAAACGTCGAGAAATTTCGGGGAAATCTTGAAGTCTTGACAAATCTTGAGAAATTTTGAGATATATTGAAAAATCTAGAAAAATTCTGAGAAATCTCGAACTCTAGAAACTTCGAAAGCTTAAAAAATCTTGTGAAACCCTGTGAAACTTTAATAAATCTTGATAAATTTTGAGAAATCTCGTGAAATCCTGAGAATTGTTGAGAAATTATGAAAAATCTTGAAAAATTTTAAGAAATTTTGAAAAATCTTGAAAAATTTTAAGAAATTTTGAAAAATCTCGAAATATAGAAACCTTGAGAATTCCCGAGAAATCCTGAGAAATCTTGAAAAATCCTGAGAATCTTGAGAATGATGAGAAATCGCAATAAATCTTGAAAAATCTTGAGAAACCCTCAGAAACTTTAATAAATCTTGGAAAATTTTGAGAAACCTTGAGAAATCTTGAGAAATTTTAAGCAATTTTGAGAAATCTCGAAACACAAGAAACTTCGAAATCTTGAAAAATCATGAGAAACCCTGAGAAACTTTAATAAACCTTGATAAAGTTTGAGAAATCTTGAAAAATTTTGGGAAACCTTGAGAAACTTTAATAAACCTTGACAAATTTTGAGAAATCTTGAGAAATCCTGAGAATTGTTGAGAAATTATGAAAAATCTTCAGAAATTTTAAGAAATTTTGAGAAATCTCGAAATTTGGAAACCTTGAGAATTTCCGGGTAATCCTGAGAAATGTTGAGAAATCTTGAAAAATCCTGAGAATCTTGAGAATGATGAGAAATCGTAATAAACCTTGAAAAATCTTGAGAAACTCTGAGAAACTTTAATAAATCTTGGTAAATGTTGAGAAATCTTGAAAAATATTGAGAAATCTTGAGAAATTTTGAGAAATTTTGAGAAATCTCCTAACTCTACAAACTATGAAATCTTGAAAAATTTTGAGAAACCCTGAGAAACCAAATATAATTTTAAATAAACCTTGATAAATTTTGAGAAATCTTGAGACATATTTAGAATTGTTGAGAAATTATGAAAAATCTTGAGAAATTTTATGGAATTTTGGGAAATCTCGAAATATAGAAACCTTGAGAAATCTTGAGAAATGCTGAGAATTGTTGAGAAATGATGAGAAATCGTGATAAATCTTGAAAAATCTTAAGAAGGATCGAAAAACGTCGAGAAATTTCGGGGAAATCTTAAGAAACCTTGAGTAATCTTGAAGTCTTGATAAATCTTGAGAAATTTTGAGACATATTGAAAAATCTAGAAAAATTTTGAGAAATCTCTAACTCTAGAAACTTCGAAACCTTGAAAAATCTTGAGAAACCCAGTGAAACTTTAATAAACCTTGAGAAATTTTGAGAAATACTTAGAATTGATGAGAAATTATGAACAATCTTGAGAAATTTTAAGAAATTTTGAGAAATCTCGAAATATAAAAACCTTGAGAATTCCCTAGAAATCGTGAGAAATGTTGAGAAATCTTGAAAAATCCTGAGAATCTTGAGAATGATGAGAAATCGTAATAAATCTAGAAAAATCTTGAGAAACCCTAAGAAACTTCAATAAATCTTAGTTCATTTTGCGAAATTTTGAAAAATGTTGAAAAATCTTGAGAAATTTTAAGAAATTTTGAGAAATCTCAAAACTCCAGAAACTTCGAAATCATGAAAAATTTGAGAAACCCGGAGAAACTTTAATAAACCTTGATAAATTTTGAGAAATCTTGAGAAATTTTAAGAAATTTTGAGAAATATCGAAATATAGAAACCTTGAGAAATCTTGAAAAATCCTGAGAATCTTGAGAATGCGTAATAAATCTTGAAAAATTTTGAGAAGGCTCGAGACTTTTCGGAGAAATCTTGAGAAATCTTGTGAAATTTTGAGAAATATCGAGAACTCTTGAAAATATTTGAGAAATCTTCAAAAATCTTCGACCTTGAAATTTCGAGATCTGGAAATCTTGAAATTTTGAGAAACTTCGAGAAATCTTGAAAAACCTCCAGTAAATCAAAAGAAATTTTGAAAAATCTAGAGAAGTCTTGAGAAATCTTGAGACACTAAGAAATTTGAAGAAATTCTGAGAAATCTTCAGGAAATCTAGAGGAATTTTCGGAGAAATCTCAAAGAAATCTTGAGAAACCTCGTAACCTGTTAACTTTAAGTAATCCTGAGAAATCGTGAGAAATTTTTGAGAAGTTTCCTCAAGTTTTTGCGAAAATTTGAAAGTTAAGCGAAAAAACTGAAAGCCCATTCGCATACTACCAGTGTGTGGGAGTAATTTTGTATAACATTCAACTCATTTTAAAAGACGGTTTATTGAGATGACGTCAATTTGTTGGTGGGGATGATCAGCCAAATTTTGGCTAGCATTTAACCATCGACATGATAGTTCTAATATAAATACAAAATTTGACAACAATCGGTAAATTTTTAGGAAAAATTAAATTAATTCATTTTTTTTTATAAGAACCCCTATAATAAAGATACGTATGAACTGAAACAAATAAAACTGAAAAATTGAAAAACAGAAAATTATAAAAAAAAGAAAATTACAAAAATAAAGAAAATAAAAAACCGAAACGAAAAATTTGAAGAAATCAAAATTAATCACTAAAATAAATTGACCCATTCGTTATTTTTTTTAATCACCCCGTATTAAACAAACACTTAAAATAAATGGGTCAATCTGTGCTTATTTTCCCAGTATCTTCGCACATAAAAAAATTATATTAAGTAGTTCAAGTCAGTTCATGTCTTAAGAAAAAAACAGAAATCGTAATAATTTATTTTTTAACACTCTGTATATTAAGATTCAATTTAATTTACACCACAACAGAGAGCGTACATTTGTTGATTTATCCACGAAGTACTATAAAATATATAGGGCGTTCTTTTTTAAAAACTAAGTTGTATACTAAACATTTTTAAAATTTTATATTAACCCGGCGCCTCCACCTTTTTTATTCAAAAATTAAATTAAGTCACCTTGAGGTGAAATTTTCTCAGGACCACGAATCTGTGCATAATTTTGCGATATTTACTTAAATAAAAGGGAAAAAATGTTTAGATGTAAGAAATGTGACTTATTCAAATTTATCCAAATAAGAATCATTATTTGGCTCAGACATAAAATCTAAAGAAAAATATATTTTCCTCTACATTGTATTAAATTTCTGTCGAAGTTTATTATTGTTTTAAAATTAATTAAAATAACAAAAATTAGAATGATCTAAACTGCATTTACATGTTTTATTTATTTTAATGTTAGTGGTTTTTAACGCACGTCACTGGTAAACAATAGAAAACACACAAAAAAACTTATAATAGTCCCAAAAAAATAAAAAAATCTTGGGATAAAAATTTGAAAAAATCCCAGAGACAACAAAATACAGGATGTTGGAAATCAAATCAAAATCATTGTGATGACTAAGCTATTCACGACAGAGATAAAACAGTTGCACGACAAGCACTAAACACAGCAAACATCACGAAATTACAAACGTTGCAAGTGCGGCGATAAACATGCTTTAGCTAACATTTTGTGGACAATTATTAAACAAGCGTTAAAGCACTGCTGAATAAAATCCGTTGATAAACCAGCGACTAACGAAAAGTGCCCTTTTTGTAACAAAAGTTTTTTTGCTTCGAAAACACTACACAACACAAGAATGAGCTCATCACGTTCGACAAATCCGATTTAATAACTTCATATCATCTTCGGCCTTAATTAATACGATAAACTAACAAGATAAAGAAGATACGAGATCACCTAAGCGTGATATAACCTAATAATCAAAGAGTAAGCGCCAACGAAACGATAACTTAATTTATGACTAGTGTCTTAAAATTGAACGAAAACTTTCGAAAATTTCGAAATAAGAAAAATCCGCCTCACTGCCCGTTAATCTCCACCGCCCCCGGCAAATTTGCCACCTGCGATCGCCGCTTTGATCCCAATCCGGCTGAATTTTTGCGTGCCATCAGAAGTAAACTTTTGGCAAAGTTCGCTGCCGTAGCACGCGCTACATTTGCGCGAGCGGAGTGCGCACCGTCCGCGATAAATCTGTGTCTATGGGGGCACGAGTCGTCAGTGTCGCGTGGTGAAGACACCCACAGAAGTCCGAAGATGCCACTTTACTAGATGTGTGTTTTCCGGCGAGACTTGCCGGAATCCTCTGACAAAGGCGCTCCGGTTTGAGTTCCGCAAGTTCAGGTGAGTCGGATGAGACTTTGTTTGCTTTGGAGGGTAATCTGATAGCGAGAGATTAAGAGTCGAAGTGCATTGGATCGGGTGTCCGGTGCAGCGGGAATTTCGCGAAAGTTGTCGGTGGGTTATTTTCAATTAAAAGTTTGTACCGGGGTTCCTTCCGACTTGGTGAAGTATTTTTTAATATGTGTTCAAGGACTTTGATGAATAAGCATGCAGCGTTTTGTTACAAAGACAAAGACTCAACAAGTTCGGTGGATGGACGGTTCTGATTTTTTAATTTTGAGAGAATTCGACTGGAGGAAAGTCGGCGGTTGGGGAATCGAAGAGTTCGATCTGGTGTGCCGTTTACATAATTTTTCGGTTTTACTATGACTTTGTTTCGTATTTTGGTACTTGATTACTTGGTCAGCAATACTGAAAATCGATACTAATAGCAAATAGAAACTGAATTGTGGCCACAATTGACAAACATTTAAATAATATTGTTACAAAAATTTTAACCAACGTTGACACAACACCACCAAACACGTCTGCTTAATTTGAACTTGTTTTTAAAGCGACTGCTATAATAACACCACTTATGGCTGTAAGTTCCGGAAACTTTATTCATCAAGTTAAAAATAATATTTTGCGAATTTCGTGGTAACTGGGTACCGAGTCATTTTTTCTTGTTCCGCTTGAACATATTTGGCAAGCACTTTGTTACATATTTTACACAAACACGAAAGCTAAATGCACTGTTGATGTCGCGTCGTTAAACAACTTCATGCGCTACAAAAAACTTTCAAATGTTCGCTCTACTGTTTAGGAATGAATTATCCAGCTATTTTTTTTGTTCATGTATAATAGCACCGTCTTGTTGAAATAACATACTTCCCCCCGTCTTAAATTTCACGTCCTGAATTATACTTTTAAATCCGTGTATTTAAATTGCTGCTTGTTGAAATTTCGAACAAGGACAATCCATTTTCAATGCAGTTTAGATCATTCTGATTTTTGTTATTTTAATTAATTTTAAAACAATTATAAACTTCGACAGAAATTTAATACAATGTAGAGGAAAATATATTTTTCTTTAGATTTCATAACGTCTGAGCCAAATAATGATTCTTATTTGGATAAATTTGAATAAGTCACATTTCTTACAACTAAACATTTTTTTTCCTTTTATTTAAGTAAATATTGCAAAATTATGCCAGATTCGTGGTCCTGAGAAAATTTCACTTCAAGTTGGCTTAATTTAATTTTTGAATAAAAATGGAGGAGGCGCCGGGTTAATATAAAATTGAAAAAAGTATAACTTAGTTTTTAAAACCGAACAAGTGAATAAAAAAACACTCTGTATATCTTGATGTTTGAAACAAATGGTCGAACTGACTTGAACAACTTAATATAATTTTTTTATCTGCGAAAGTACTGGAAAAATAAGCACAGATTGACCCATTTTTGGATCAATTTGACTATTATTGAATTTTTGGGGGAAGAAGGCATAATAATTAATTTTAAAAATATTCATTTTAAGTTTTTGTATAATACGGGGTGATTAAAAAAATATGAATGAAGTCAATTTATTTTAGTGATTAATTTTCATTTCTTCAAATTTTTCGTTTCGGGTTTTTATTTTCTTTATTTTTATAATTTTTTGATTTTATAATGTTTGTTTTTCAATTTTTCAGTTTTATTTGTTTCAGTCCATACGTATCTTTATTATAGGGGTTCTTATAAAATAAAAACAAATAAAATTGAATTGATTTAATTTTTCCTAAAAATTTACCGATTGTTGTCAAATTTTGTATTTATATTAGAAATATCATGTAGATTGTTAAATGCTAGCCAAAATTTGGCTAACCATCCCCACCAATAAATTGATGACGTCATCTCAATAAATCGTCTTTTAAAATGAGTTGAATGTTATACAAAATTACTCCCACACACTGGTAGTATGCGAATGGGCTTTCAGTTTTTTCGCTTAACTTTCAAATCTTCGCAAAAACTTGAGGAGACTTCTCAAAAATTTCTCACGATTTCTCAGGATTCCTTAAAGTTCACAGGTTACGAGATTTCTCAAGATTTCTCTGAGATTTCTCAGAAAATTCTCTAGATTTCCTGAAGATTGCTCAGGATTTCATCAAATTTCTGAGTGTCTCAAGATTTCTCAAGACTTCTCTAGATTTCTTACAATTTCGCAAGGTTTCGTGGTTCGAAATTTCTACATTTTTCAAAATTTTTTACGATTTCTGGAGGTTTTTCAAGATTTCTCGAGGTTTCTCAAAATTTCAAGATTTCCAGATTTCGAAATTTCAAGTTCTCGATATTTCTCAATATTTTACAAGATTTCTCAAGATTTCCCCGAAAATTCTCGACGTTTTTCGAGCCTTCTCAAGATTTTTCAAGATTTATTACGATTTCTCATCATTCTCAAGATTTCTCAACATTTCTCGGGAATTCTCCATGTTTCTATATTTCGAGATTTCTCAAAATTTCTTAAAATTTCTCAAGATTTTTCATAATTTCTCAACAATTCTAAGTATGTCTCAAGAATTCTCAAGATTTCTCAAGGTTTATTAAAGTTTCTCAAGGTTTCTCAAGATTTTTCAAGATTTCAAAGTTTCTAGAGTTCCGAGATTTCTCAAAACTTCTTAAAATTTCTCAAGATTTCTCAACATTTGTCAAGATTTCTCAAAGTTTACCAAGATTTATTAAATTTTCTCAGGGTTTCTCAAGATTTTTCAAGATTTATTACGATTTCTCATCATTCTCAAGATTCTCAGGATTTTTCAAGATTTCTCAACATTTCTCAGGATTTCTCGGGAATTCTCAAGGTCTCTATATTTCGAGATTTTTCAAAATCTCTTAAAATTTCTCAAGATTTTTCATAATTTCTCAACAATTCTCAGGATTTCTCAAGATTTCTCAAACTTTGTCAAGGTTTATTAAAGTTTCTCAGGGTTTCTCAAGATTTTTCAAGTTTTCAATGTTTTTAGTGTTCTAGAGTTCTCAAATTTTTTCTAGATTTTTCAGTATGTCTCAAAATTTCTCAAGATTGATCAAGACTTCAAGATTACTCAAGGTTTCTTAACATTTCCCCGAAATTTCTCGACGTTTTTCGATCCTTCTCAAGATTTTTCAAGATTTATAATGATTTCTCATCATTTCTCAACAATTCTCAGGATTTCTCAAGATTTCTCAAGGTTTCTATATTTCGAGATTTCTCAAAATTTCATAAAATTTCTCAAGATTTTTCATAATTTCTCAACAATTCTAAGTATGTCTCAAGATTTCTCAAGATTTCTCAAGGTTTATTAAAGTTTCTCAAGGTTTCTCAAGATTTTTCAACATTTCAAAGTTTCTAGAGTTTCGAGATTTCACAAAATTTCTTAAAATTTCTCAGGATTTCTCAACATTTTCCAAGATTTCTCAAAATTTACCAAGATTTATTAAAGTTTTTGAGGATTTCTCGGGAATTCTCCAGGTTTGTATATTTCCAGATTTCTCAAAATTTCTTAAAATTTCTCAAGATTTTTCATAATTTCTCAACAATTCTCACGATTTCTTAAGATTTCTCAAAATTTGTTAAGATTTACTAAAGTTTCTCAAGATTTTTCAAGGTTTCAAAGTTTCTAGAGTTCTAGAGTTCTCAAAATTTTTCTAGATTTTTTAATGTCTCAAAATTTCTCAAGATTGATCAAGACTTTAAGATTACTGAAGGTTTCTTAAGATTTCCCCGAAATTTCTCGACGTTTTTCGATCCTTCTCAAGATTTTTCAAGATTTATCATGATTTCTCATCATTTCTCAACAATTCTCAGGATATCTCAAGATTTCTCAAGGTTTCTATATTTCGAGATTTCTCAAAATTTCATAAAATTTTTCAAGATTTTTCATAATTTCTCAACAATTCTAAGTATGTCTCAAGATTTCTCAAAATTTATCAAGGTTTATTAAAATTTCTCAGGGTTTCTCAAGATTTTTCAAGATTTCAAAGTTTCTAGAGTTCCGAGATTTCTCAAAATTTCTAAAAAAGTCTCAAGATTTCTCAACATTTCTCAACATTTTTCAACATTTCTCAAAATTTACCAAGATTTATTAAAGTTTCTCAGGATTTCTCAAGATTTTTCAAGATTTATTACGATTTTTCATCATTCTCAAGATTCTCAGGATTTCTCAATATTTCTCAACATTTCTCAGGATTTGTCGGGAATTCTCCAGGTTTCTATATTTCGAGATTTTTCAAAATTTCTTAAAATTTCTCAAGATTTTTCATAATTTCTCAACAATTCTCAGGATTTCTCAAGATTTCTCAAAGTTTATCATGGTTTATTAAAATTTCTCAGGGTTACTCAAGATTTTTCAATATTTGAAAGTTTCTAGAGTTCCGAGATTTCTCAAAATTTCTTAAAAATTCTCAAGATTTCTCAAGATTTCTCAAAATTTACCAAGATTTATTAAAGTTTCTCAGGGTTTCTCAAGATTTTTCAAGATTTATTACGATTTTTCATCATTCTCAAGATTCTCAGGATTTCTCAAGATTTCTCAACATTTCTCAGGATTTGTCGGGAATTCTCCAGGTTTCTATATTTCGAGATTTTTCAAAATTTTTTAAAATTTCTCAAGATTTTTCATAATTTCTCAACAATTCTCAGGATTTCTCAAGATTTCTCAAAGTTTATCAAGGTTTATTAAAGTTTCTCAGGGTTTCTCAAGATTTTCCAAGATTTCGAAGTTTCTAGAGTTCCGAGATTTCTCAAAATTTCTTAAAATTTCTCAAGATTTCTCAAAATTTACCAAGATTTGTTAAAGTTTCTCAGGGTTTCTCAAGATTTTTCAAGATTTATTACGATTTTTCATCATTCTCAAGATTCTCAGGATTTTTCAAGATTTCTCAACATTTCTCAGGATTTCTCGGGAATTCTCAAATTCTCTATATTTCGAGATTTCTAAATTTCATAAAATTTCTCAACATTTTTCATAATTTCTCAACAATTCTAAATATGTCTCAAGATT